AGGTAATGTATCTTCAACCCTTGTATTCTCTGCTGACAAATCGATTGCCCTTGAAAACCTATATGTTTCCTCTAATCCGGAGTAAAGTTGTACCTATTTTTACCAGCTGTTGATTTCAGTCGTCTATTTGCTGGATTTTGCGTGAGACTACCTCGAAGAGGTTTAAGAAGTTCATCATTGTGTGCACATACACTATAATACCCATCTGGTAAATGTAGATTCTTTGAATTATTACTGATGTTTGGTTGATGTGTCCCTTTGAGCTATTCACAGCAGTGTAATATGCATATTGAATATCTAAAAATATAACATCTAATATATTTAATCTGACTCATTAAGCATTCAGTTATATTTCATACCCGACATGGGGACAATGTGTGAAGCCCATTTCTGGTTTCCCCGGGCGTGATATTGCTGGAATATTGCGAAATAACGGCGTAAAACCTCACTCATTCACTCACTCACTCACTCACTCACTAAAAAACTTGTTAATTATCAGTCTTATAAAATACAACAGCTCTAATGTTATACGTTCACTAGCCATGTTGTTGAAAACATATATTCTCTGTCAGATAGTTTGATGTTGGTATTGCGTTTCAGCGTGGTGCGTGTGCCATCTTCATTGTAAATAGCATCGAGCATGTCATTATAATAATTGAGTGTATAAAGTGCTGGAAACAAATACAATTACGATTGATGATTTGCCATTTATGATTATTCGAGGTCATGTACAGCATTTAAACATCGTTTATGTACCTCGATTAATATTCGTGTTTGTAGGAGTTATTGTCAGGTTCTAACCACCATTTGCTCCTAATTAAGAAGAGCGAGTGTCCATTCCTAATCCTAAACTACAGCCTTGTTTAGCGTGATGCGTGTAGCATCGACAACACCTCAGTCAAATCGAGAGAATGCTTTATACATACATCATTTATAGAGGAACATAAGATGTGATAATAGCAACATAGCGAAACACAAAACCAGGATAACGGCAATGTAGTAGACTATACAATGATGATATCATCAGTGTAGTAAACAACCAAACTATGATAACAGCAATGAAGCGGGCGACACAACCATGATAACAGCAATATAGCGAAACACAAAACCAGCATAACGGCAATGTTGTAGACTATACAATGATGATATCATCCGTGTAGTAAACAACAAAACTATGATAACAGCAATGAAGCGGGCGACACAACCATGATAACAGCAATGAAGCGGGCGACACAACCATGATAACAGCAATGAAGCGGGCGACACAACCATGTGACAGCAATGTAGCGGAACACAAAACCAGGATAACGGCAATGTAGTAGACTATACAATGATGATATCATCAGTGTAGTAAACAACCAAACTATGATAACAGCAATGTAGCGGGCGACACAACCATGATAACAGCAATATAGCGAAACACAAAACCAGCATAACGGCAATGTAGTAGACTATACAATGATGATATCATCCGTGTAGTAAACAACAAAACTATGATAACAGCAATGAAGCGGGCGACACAACCATGATAACAGCAATGAAGCGGGCGACACAACCATGTGACAGCAATGTAGCGAAACACAAAACCAGGATAACGGCAATGTAGTAGACTATACAATGATGATATCATCCGTGTAGTAAACAACAAAACTATGATAACAGCAATGAAGCGGGCGACACAACCATGATAACAGCAATGAAGCGGGCGACACAACCATGATAACAGCAATGAAGCGGGCGACACAACCATGTGACAGCAATGTAGCGGGCGACACAACCATGTGACAGCAATGTAGCGAAACACAAAACCAGGATAACGGCAATGTAGTAGACTATACAATGATGATATCATCAGTGTAGTAAACAACAAAACTATTATAACAGCAATGTAGCGGGCGACACAACCATGATAACAGCAATATAGCGAAACACAAAACCAGGATAACGGCAATGTAGTAGACTATACAATGATGATAGCATCAGTGTAGTAAACAACAAAACTATGATAACAGCAATGAAGCGGGGTTAACGACTATGAGAACAGCAATGTAGCGGGCGACACAACCATGATAACAGCAATGAAGCGGGGTACACAACTATGATAACGGCAATGTAGCGGGCGACACAACTATGATAACAACAATGTCGTGGGCGACACAACAATAATAACAGCAATGTAAGGGGGTTAACGACTATGAGAACAGCAATGTAGCGGGCGACACAACCATGATAACAGCAATCTAGCGGGGTTAACAACTATGATAACAGCAATGTAGCGGGCTCGTGGTAAAAGTCCCCCCCCCCCCCCCCCCCCCCTCCATTAAGCTTAAACACTGCTCAAAGTGACGTATATAAAAAGATATTTTCATATAAGCGGTCACAGCGACATGGATAATCAAGAAGCTATTTGAGTGCAGAACATTGTGGCCATGGCGTCCAGGTCCAGGTCCAGGTCCAAACCTGGCTTTAATGACTTCATCACGCTTCTTCCGTCAACGTATTTTAACCGTTGGAATATACAGCCGATCAGATTGAGTTCATGTGCCGAGAACTGTTGCCAGGGGATCACAATAAACTGTGGTCGCACCAGATGCACCACTCATATGGACTCAATACACGTATAACATGTGTTTGTGTATACAAAGAAAACATGGCACTATTTTCTATATATTGTGACAATTTACTTCAATAATCAGGCGCGTATAAAATATGGTAATTGCGATCAATTATATCTTTAGACAAACAATGCATTGTCAGTAGCAAAGTGTAATTAGTCACAAAAATGACTGCAGACACAGACACTGCAGATTAGTTCAAACAAATTATAGTGTTCAGAAATAAATTGCTCTGTTACGAGATAAATATAAAATACAATTATTTCCCTCGTTACAGGCAAGTAACACAAAAGGCAATGGTGGGGGTAACTGACACTTGTTATCATCGCAATTTAGCGGGGTACACAACCATGCTAGCAACAATGTACTGGACTACACAACTATGATAACAACAATGTACCGGAATACACAACTATGATAACAACAATGTACCGGAATACACAACTATGATAACAACAATGTACCGGAATACACAACTATGATAACAACAATGAACTGGACTACACAACCATGATAACAACAATGTACCGGAATACACAACTATGATAACAACAATGTACTGGACTACACAACCATGATAACAACAATGTACCGGAATACACAACTATGATAACAACAATGTAGCAGGCGACACAACTATGATAGCAGCAATGTAGCGGGGTACACAACTATGAAAAAGGCAATTTAGCTGAATACATAACCATGATAACAACAGTGTTGTGGACTACACAAACATGATAACAGCAATCTAGCGTCCCCCCCCCCCCCCATCCCAACACCCCCACCCCCACCCCACCCCACCCCACCCAACCCCACCCCACCCCACCCAACCCCACCCCCCTCCCCATGCTGAACACAGCGGTTATGAGTTTAAATCCTTAAAAAAGAGCCCAGGAAGTCAGTTCTTAATAAAATTAAAAAATTAATGAACTCCAGCAAAGTTGAAATCTTAAATCATGAATCAGATACCGGTAACGCTTTCACTCCGCAAACATTTCTTTTTGTATCAAAGCATCAAACAATCAAACAATACCAATCCCAGTTCATCTCGGTACCCCCGAGCATCTCCCCCTCCCTCCCCCAGGTCCTTGTTTACCACACAGTAGAGCGTTATACTGGTAATATACTGCGTCAGATACTGTCTGTGATATTTGTTTATGTGTCCATTCAAGTGAAAAATATGCTCCAAGTTAACCCTGTGACTGGAAGGAAGGAGAGGAACTTGTTCATGTGTAATGTTTATTCTAAACAGCGCCAGTGCCGGTAGTGCTTGGCTGTTTACCCAGATGTACACCCCACCTCGCTGAAGGTTGTCTTGACCCTTCAAAGCTTCACGGAGTGCAAGTATATGATCGAACCTGGAGTAGACACACCATTTATTGATAGGCAAGGTTGTCTGTCTGCCCAACTATACTAAGCTAACCTATCTGTACATGTATATTTCACTGCTTGTAGATAGCATGAGGCATGAGTACTCCCGTGGTACAGGCAGATTGTAGGTTAATGAACGTCTATGCCTTGCACCACATCTGTTCAGTTTGATTGTCAACCCAACTCACACTTGCATGCGTACAAAAAACATAATGACACAACTGATGTAGAAATAATAACTGTAATTGATAAGAACAGTTCATTTATACAACTCTGCCATTATTAACGCGCAAGGACACGTGTCATTTGATCACTCAGCTTACCCCTATACATCGACGTCGAATATACACAGATGTCGACTTTCAAATATATCAGACAACCCAGTGAAAGATCCCCAGGTACCCATTTACTGTGGTGAATGTAACTAGTACCATTTCAAACTATTAAAGCCAATCTATAGTCGAGCCTCGTTGTGTCGAACTCGTGGGAGCTTGGAAAAAAGTTCGAGTTATCCGGGGTTCGAGATATCAGGGAGATTTTATGCTTAATTTGGATACTTGGGACTCCCGAATGAGTTCGAGACATCAGCGAATTCGGCACATCCAAGTTTGACACACCGGTAAGGAAGTTAAGTTAGATATTCATCAATATTAGTTCATTCATGTTTATACAAGATGAATGTATCCGGTGTCATATCCCGCTTGAATTCTGACATAGGTGCTGCTGTTGAGGAAACAGTTGTAAACACTCGCTTGCACTGGCACACCATATGGGATGGTATGTGTCGCACACCCTGCTCCACAATGTTGCATATGTCTACTGCATAGGACAGGGGAAGTGCGTCACGCCTCCCTTCCATTGACCTTAATCTTACTCAACCCGGATCTGATTGGCTTAGAGAGTTGCACTAGGCTGCACCTGTTGAACAGATTATTGATGACGTCATAATTGAACTTGCCAAAAGTTTTGAGTATAAATATGCCAGTTGTACTGATGGGCACTTATTAAAATGCGTTTCTTCTTGCAGGTAGTTATGGTATGTTTGTCCGTAGGGGTGGGAGAAAGTGCCTGTCCCCACCTAGAGGCTGGGCTGGAGAAGTGGGGGGACACAACGTCCTGGAAATCTGGGGTACTGCCGAAAGAAGGGGACAATCTCCTTATCCCATCAGGTAAATTTTTAATAGTTTCGTGAACATTCCACTCTTTCGTAGCCTAAGGTTCTGTAAAGTCGTGACCGCGGCTACAGGTGTAAGACATGATGTTAACACGATCAAAACAAGCAAAAGTTGCCTCTAAAATTGACTAAGCGTCATCACCTCTGTTTGCCAAACAAATAAATACACCTTTATAGTAACAATTTGTCTGAAATACTGCCGATGTGACTTTTAGACTTAGAAGTTTATTCAAAAGTGTTTGTTCATGTGGCCAGTCCCGTCTAGATGAAAACTTCACGGGGAAGGTCACTGTCAGCAGAGCATCATTAATTACTAGATACCCTAAGAAATATAAAATTTCATATTCAACACTATCTATATGTTATCCCGATTCAATTTACTCAAAACTATTTACGGTTGAAGTTGAACAATTGAAGTAATGTAGTCAAACTGTTTCATTGTTAAGCACGGTCTGCCGGCTACAGCACTTCAAGTGCGTTGCCTTTAACCTTTACGGTAATTGTCTAAATACTCGAAATAATCACATCAAGTGAGGGAAGTGATTTTAGAATGTTTCATAAAAGCAAATTTCATGATGTCATTCATTTACTCGTGAACACTTTTGGCATTTTACTATCATAATAATAGCCATTACTTACTGGAAAACGGAATCTGGTAATTTTAAACAGCAACATTATATGAGATCTATTTCGTGTCTTCTATCTTAATATTTGCAAGATAATTAATAGTTATGCTTCGCTCATTTTGGATTAAATAAACCTATACTGTATGTATTAAAACAATGTGTCATAAAAGTATGGTCTCTCTAAATAATTACCCTTCATAAATGTCTACCTATGTGGCATATTGATTGAAGAGCGGTTTAAAAGTTCACTCGGAATTAATCTGATCTGAGAGTCACAGATTCAACGCACCAATGCCCATTGTTAGTCGTTCGAACTAACATCTACGAAAACCATTTTTTTCAATGAAAGCATCTAAAATCGTATGACACACCGCGACCGAAAAAGTCCCCGGTCCATTTTGGACATTCGTAACATAGTTTGAGCTTAAGTTTCATTCCAGGCAAGAAGCTCCTGCTGAACGTGTCCCCGCCCTGTCTGTCCTCCATAACCATCGAAGCAGGGGCAGCGTTAGTCTGGGGCGACGTGGACAACCTCAACGTCTGTGTCAGCTACATCCTCATCAGAGGCCGCCTCCAGATCGGCAGCGAAGACTGCAGGTTCACCAGGAAAACTCACATCAGACTTATAGGTAGGACATAAGATTTATTAAGCGTCAGATATATCGTTGTGTCTGAATGCCTGGTGGATACAGAAACTATGAAACCACAAAGGGGCAAATGGATCATGCGAAGTGTATATAGAACATATTTAAACAACATAACAGTGAAGTAAATGCAATGGGAAATTTTGTAGGTATTGTTTTACTTTCTTCATAGAAATGTTCCCCATTTACCAAGAGCCGTCGGACCCTAGGGTCCTTATGGTTAGTACAAACTTCAGTGGTCAATGCCAATGTATCGATGAAGACAATCTGCCTAAATAAATACCATCATCTCCGGTCTGTATACCTTGAAACACGTGCATATCAATGCAAAGGAATCGTGGGATGACTTCAAGAAAGAATACTGAGATCTACAACATTTCCCTTCCCCAGGCGAAAGTAACTCCACGCTGTCTGTTTCCGGCTTTGGGAGGAAGTTTATTGGCGTGGCTGCAGGAGGCACGATTGAGGTGCACGGAGAAGAGAAACCATCGTGGACGAAGTTGATCCAGACAGCTAAACCCGGCGGCTGTGACAGCCTCTTTGATTTCAAGGTGAGTTGCAGTTGTGTTCAGATACTTTCACACGGTGGTCACTGTTGAGATACCGGTGACAGCCCCTTCAACTTACAGGTGAGTCGATGTAGGGCTGAAATACCCGTAACAGCCCCTTTAACTTACAGGTGAGTCGATGTAGGGCTGAAATACCGATGACAGCCCCTTTAACTTACAGGTGAGTCGATGTAGAGCTGAGATACCGATGACAGCCCCTTTAACTTACAGCCAGTCGATGTAGGGCTGAGATACCGATGACAGCCCCTTTAACTTACAGGTGAGTCGATGTAGGGCTGAAATACCGATGACAGCCCCTTCAACTTACAGCCAGTCCATGTAGGGCTGAGATACCGATGGCAGCCCCTTCAACTTACAGCCAGTCGATGTAGGGCTGAAATACCGATGACAGCCCCTTTAACTTACAGGTGAGTCGATGTAGGGCTGAAATACCGATGACAGCCCCTTCAACTTACAGGCCAGTCGATGTAGGGCTGAGATACCGATGGCAGCCCCTTCAACTTACAGCCAGTCGATGTAGGGCTGAGATACCGATGACAGCCCCTTTAACTTACAGGTGAGTCGATGTAGGGCTGAAATACTGATGACAGCCCCTTCAACTTACAGCCAGTCGATGTAGGGCTGAGATACCGATGGCAGCCCCTTCAACTTACAGCCAGTCGATGTAGGGCTGAGATACCGATGACAGCCCCTTTAACTTACAGGTGAGTCGATGTAGGGCTGAGATACCCGTGACAGCCCCTTTAACTTACAGCCAGTCGATGTAGGGCTGAGATACCGATGACAGCCCCTTTAACTTACAGGTGAGTCGATGTAGGGCTGAGATACCCGTGACAGCCCCTTTAACTTACAGCCAGTCAATGTAGGGCTGAGATACCGATGACAGCCCCTTTAACTTACAGGTGAGTCGATGTAGGGCTGAGATACCCGTGACAGCCCCTTCAACTTACAGCCAGTCGATGTAGGGATGAGATACCGATGACAGCCCCTTTAACTTACAGGTGAGTCGATGTAGGGCTGAGATACCCGTGACAGCCCCTTTAACTTACAGCCAGTCGATGTAGGGCTGAGATACCCGTGACAGCCCCTTTAACTTACAGGTGAGTCGATGTAGGGCTGATATACCCGTGACAACCTCTTCAACTTACAGGTCAGTCGATGTAGGGCTGATATACCCGTGACAACCTTTCAACTTACAGGTCAGTCGATGTAGGGCTGATATACCCGTGACAACCTTTCAACTTACAGGTCAGTCGATGTAGGGCTGATATACCCGTGACAACCTTTCAACTTACAGGTGAGTCGATGTGGTGCTGAGATACCCGTCACAGGCTCTTTAACTTACAGATGATCATGAGTCAGTGTTGTGTTCAGTTAACCGTGACCACCACTTCCAGCTGAGTCAAGGTCGTATTCAGTTACCCGTGACAGCCACTTTCAGCTGAATCAAAGTCGTGTTCAGATAGCCGGGACAGCCACTTCCATCTGAGTCAAGGTCGTGTTCAGATAGCTGTGACAACCACTTCCAGCTAAGTCAAGGTCGTGTTCAGTTAACCGAGACAACCACTTCCAGCTGAGTCAAGGTCGTGTTCAGATAGCCGTGACAACCACTTTCAGCTGAGTCAAGGTTATGTTCAGTTAACCGTGACAACCACTTTAAGCTAAGTCAAGGTCGTGTTCAGTTAAGCGTGACAGTCACTTCCAGCTGAGTCAAGGTCGTGTTCAGATAGCCGTGACAGTCACTTCCAGCTGAGTCAAGGTCGTGTTCAGATAGCCGTGACAACCACTTCCAGCTGAGTCAAGGTCGTCTTTAGATAGCCGTGACAATAATTTCCAGCTTAGTCAAGGTCGTGTCCAGTTACCCGTGACAACCTCTTTGACTCATAGGTGATCATGAGGCAGTGTAGTGTTCAGTTACCCGTGACAAACACTCCCAGTGGCATAAACAAATTATGTACAAATGTTGATGATTAATAACCTTCAGTCAACAAAATATACTGGAGTTCTCTAGGTGCGATATCTTAGGTTTTCATTATCTAGTATTAACTAAATATGGGATACTGAGATACACGAGGAATATATATTAGAAAAGACGAATAATCGTGTGCTATCTTACAGAAAAGCGTGTTCCAGGCGGAGTCTGCCCGAGGCCTGTACGTCTCTGTGTTTAATGAGGACAGCTCTCTGTGGGACTTTGCCGTGTTCAGGACCGGAGAGGACATTGCTGACGAGGACCTCCAGTTCCAGGAATTTATAGAAGGTGAGTTAATAAAAAAGCGATTTCATTATAGTAAGTTTTTGTAAAAAGAGGTTATTTTGCTTTTTTGCTTGGCAATGGTTGTTTTATTATGCCACTCACATACATTAACGACTTGTCCGAACATCAAAGGTTCTGCTTCATTTTGCTTCACCCTACTAGGTGTGGCGTGCATTTGTTAATTTACAACAAAATGCCATCCCGTCGATATTTGTATTGGTGGCACAAGTACATGTATTTACTGTTAGAACAAGTCACGGTTCCATTTCAGGAGTGATCCAAACTTGGATTCGCTATTTAAATTCATGACGAAACGTAGTCATCTTGTGGTATGCTTTGAAAAGCGACACTTTTAAATTAGTATAGCTTGTTTTGCACTAACAGGTATTCCCCAAGACAAGATCCTGGCAGTCGCTCTTCAAGGTGAACTTGGTAGTGGGGACATGGCCGCTGTGTACGAAACACTGGAGACAGCTGGGGGTCTGACGTCATCAGCCATCAGGAACGTCACAGGCAGACAGGCTTACGCCTTTATCACTAGAACAGGTGAGTTTTAATTGTATTCACCCGACATCGACGAAAACCGACTGTTTCATTTTAATATTGTGTGTAGGATTTGATCCCCAGCAATCTCTGCTTGTCAACTGCTGAAATTCTTTGATCTTCAATAAACTAATTGTCACTTTCAATCGATTTCAATTAATCATGAGTCCATAAACATTACATATAAACTCCTATGTCAATGTAATAGTGTACATTCTATCAGGTCACAGTGATACAACAGCCGAGAGACATGTCCTCTTCCCGCGTCACAAAGAAATTGCTGAAACGGGCTACCTGGCTGTCGATGTCAATGGATTCCAGTTCAGTGTGAACAGCAAAGTTTTTTCAAATACGAATATAAGGAAAGGTGTGGACTTCCGGGTTCTTCCAGCAGAAACAGCTTACCCATGCCTGAAGCTGAATGCCGAAGTCTCAACCTGGAGGCCGGGTGTGTTAACTGTGAATAAACTTAGAATATTGTTATTCTAAGCCACGTCCACATATGAAGAATGTGTGCGCAGCGGAATCTATTTAGCACGACAACCTTCTGCGACATCTACATATGTACAAACCGCGTCAATCCGGAAATGTGTTTAACTTCAAGTGAGACGTTGCTCGGCCAAATTGGCAGTCCTGGCAAGTTCTGTTCCAGGTCACAGACCACTTAATACGTCAATCAATTTAACACATACACAAACACAATGTCTGAAGTTCGTACAAACTAGAGCATCTAGATTAGGGCATGTACAGCAGACCGCGGAGCACACTCCCCCTTTAACCATGTTAATGTTGTTTCACTGTACAGTTTGTGCGTCTCAGGACATACGTACGTGGGTCTACAAACTGTATCGAACGACCAAATTCTAGGGTGGATTTGAAATAGTCCACGTCAGCGGCGAATCTTAGTGCAACTTTAAACGCGTGTTAATTGTAGATTTGCTTATTGGGTTGTATATGCAAGTGCTTGTGAAAATATAACTTGGAACTGGGTTACTGTTAAACATATGAATGGTGTTTGAATCCGTTTTATTTTATGATCATAACATGAAAATGAACGACAGTCCATCGTCTTCGCACCACATATCCAACTACATTTAATCAGTTCTAAACGTCTTCCATTAGTCAAATACATCTCCAACTACAAAACACCTCCTACCGGTCCCGTAACACCTAGTACCATAAGTTTATTACCTCTTCAATGAACAGGTTTTACTTTGTGTACATGAAGAAGTTGTTCAATTAAAAAAAGGCCAAACAGAGGGCACACTGGGCCTAGTCGCCTCAGGAAATTCTCTGTGCAGAGCTGCCTTCATTTGGAGTTACACAATCCAATCATCGTGGTCTCGAACCCCATATTCAGATTTTTGGTTTGTCAGAACCATACCCGTTTACGATGGTTTTCACCAACTTGTAAAATCTTTTCGAGTTTTCCTCAACATTCAGCTGCCACGACTGAAATAATGTTCAAAGCGGCTTTAAACCCAACTCCTTCACTCTATCCCAGTAGGACAGTGTCGTGAGAAGCACATTCATCACACTGACCAGACAGCTGTTCCGGCCCAGAGGCTGTAGGGATCAGGTAACAGCAATCCAACAGTTTTATTGGGTAATGCAAATGGTATGAAAAAAAACTTATGTTTCGCATTGCGCATCAGGTGACAAGATCGTCATAGCATCCACCGACTTCGACTGGAGACAGGCTGAAGAAATGACCATCAAGAGTTGTCCTTCTTGTGCGGTCAACGAGATCTGTCTGACAGGTATGTAGAGCTGGGGGATCTGGGTTGCTGTCAATGCTTCCGTAGATCAACAAGTTTCCTGTATTCAAGGTCAACAAACAGTCTATTACTTTCCCTAAACATCTGTCAGATGTATAGAAACATGAACAGGACATTAAGCTCATACATGTAATATTTTGTACATTTTAATAACTTTTATGACCAGGTTTTATATCCATTTATTCTCCAACAGAGCCACTGGAATACATGCACTATGGGGAGGTAACTCTTGGTGTTGACGAGAGGGCGGAAGTGGGGCTGCTGAGTCGGAACATCCTCATAGAGGGCGTGATACCAGAAGACGGGTGCAGTGTCAACGAGCCGGAAGATCAGTACCTCTGTGACCTGTTTGGATTTGACACATTTGGAGGTCATATCAAGGTGAATAAACATGGTTTTCACTCTTGCTCAGAAGTCACGAAATATTTGTCTGAAACCAACATTTAAACAGGGAGTACAGCAGAGTTGCATCAACCAGTTGTACACCACAGTTAATCTAATTCCAACATCCTCACATTTCAGACTTGCAGACAAAATGTACATAGTTGGACATTTTGGAAAAAAACCACTTGTTAATTCTTAGAAAGACAAATAATATGTTTTGATGTTTGATAATGATTTGTTCTGATTTAGGTTGTTAGAGGCTTCACAGCTGCTCACATCCAGGGCGTTGAACTCTACCACATGGGGCAGCAGCGATTTGTCGGTGAGTTCCGAATGTCAGCTTGGAGAGTTAATGTCATGATTGTGTTTGGATTACAGAGGACATGGTTGGCAAGTGATCTTAACTGCAGCTGGTTGATGTGAGTCCTGGGTTCGATTCCCATATCATTCATCCCGATTGTAAATGTCTAGCCTTGTCAGCACCATACTCAAAGGTGTTCGTCTTCGGACTGCGTCACTTTATGTATTTCTCTACTTGAATCTGGTACATCGTTATATAACTGGTACTGCAGTTCCAAACAGCTTAAACACTCGCTCAGTAGAACTTTGTTGTTCACGTGAAATATAAAAAGCATATTCTCTTCCTCAGGCACCTACCCACTCCACTTCCACATGTGCGACGACGTGGACGGCAACTGGTTCCGTCAGAACTCCATCCACCACTCTCTGACGAGATGCGTCACTGTCCACGGCTCAGATGGAGCTGAGGTTAGTGAAGTGTTGAGCCATCTGTATTCACTGCGTCTGCTGATCTTATCTTCTGGTAAGATAAGTACATTACTTTTAAACTGCTATCTGTTTGCGGTCTCTCTATTTGTTTAGCATGGAACGTGGGTTATCTGTGTCTCATAGAACGTGTCTCACATTACCTTCTACCTGAAATACATTGTAGGTTTGCTATATACATGTCATATACGCACACATCCATGTTCACACCATATTGGCTGGTGCGCATCATTTGTACAAAACAAGGTCGTCTTACAGCTTGTCGTTAATGATATTTTGGAACACCAAAAGTAGGGTTTATATTAAGGCACGTGACACCAAATATCTCGCAACGTATGATTTGTTTACATTTCTGACAGAGAGTCATCGCTATATTTTTCTCAACACAAGGTGTCTGACAATGTGTGCTATCTCCATCACGGGCACGGCTTCTTCCTGGAGGACAGCGCGGAGCAGAGGAACGTCTTCGACAGCAACCTGTGTATCGGCACCATGCACGGCACCCACATCATGTCCGACATGAAGAAGGAATGGTGCAATGCTACCATGAAGGAATTCTGCGAGTAAGGAGGATGGGTTTTGTAGTAGGGCCCTGTGTTGGGGTGGGTTTTTTTATTCACGTGTTTGGGGTTAATTCTACCCCTTGTGCTTGCAGCGCCGTATCCTCCTACTGGATCACACACCCAAACAACACCTTCATCAACAACGTTGCCGCCGGCTCAGATGTAAGTTACCTGTACAGTATAATTAAACTTAAAATTAAGCTAAAAGCCGGACTCTAATATGGAGGATCTCTTTGCATTGTTTTACGTGAGAGAATGAATAACATATCTGAGTCTATGTTTTCGTATAGCGAAAGTAGAATACAATAACCAGGAATTACATGAGTAATTTTCATGTGTTTTGTAAGACGATGACAAATCATCAATGCGTCCGTGGTGTTCATGTATCAATAGTAATAGTGAATGTTTGCTTCAAACATGGAGTTAATGGATTGATGGATTATAGGTAATTTAACATTCCATAACTATTTATCAGCATGCAGGATTTTGGATCCTTGCGTCTCGTCTCCCCCTCGGCCCCTCCCGACAACGCCAGCAACAGAGGGGGCTGGTTCCTGAGTTCCATGCCATGCAGACAAAGGTCAAGGAATTCAGAAACAACACGGCTCACTCTAATATGAATGTACGTTCCAAACCGTTTCATATTTCCTAAAGTATAATGACTTAGTTGTTCTTATTTCGATGTAAAATGTGTGAGAAAACCCCGAAAGGGTGCAGGTTGTAGACTCTTGCCACTTAGCTACGAGCAATGATATGGTACTGCCGAACCTAGTGAACCATGTGGGATTCGAACTGAGCATCAGCGGATTTGGACGGGTATAGGATCTCAACTCTGTCTAACGAATTGCGACACCTTAGACAGAACACTTGGTACTTGCTGCCCTCACGGTCCACGTGTAAGGTGTCCATTGTTTTCTCAGTACTTACTTTATAACAGTACAGTAGCACGGTGTGGAGGTTAATGATAGCATTCATGGCACTGCAATTTGGATTGACTCTGTCTCAACAGAGAGGTCTTCGAATTGACAGACGTATTTCGCACGGAGAATACAGAGACAAAGTATACATCCCCGAGAATGGCGTTCTTGGTGCCCAAGTGTCTCACACACCCATGACTACCCCAACAGACACCGGAGGACCGTTTGATAAGTCCTACCTATATGAGTAAGTGTTACTTAATCAAGTAATACATTCTATGCCGATAAGCAATTTATATAGAGTTGTGTGTGGTAAATATATATTGTTATTTGATAGTATTCTGTATCCAATAAAGCGACAAAACGCCTTTCATAATTATGATAAATGTCTGCTAAAAGTCCATTGTGTCATTTCGACTACAGCAAAGCACGCGTTCACGAATATATGTAATACCTCTGCTGTGCATGAGGTCATTCAATCATGACAAATATGTGAACTGTTGTTTTATTAAGTTCAAGGTGACATAAAAGATTTATGCACTTGCCGTGAGTAGTTTCCTTGAAATACAGATTTACAGCATACAAAAACAGAGGCCACAATGTTTGGACTAAAGCTGGAATCGTCATTATGAGTAATTTCACGTAAGTATTTTCTGAATATCTGAAATGGTGTTATCTCTGTTCCAGGACATACATTCCTCTATAACTAAAGTGTATCCCCATGAAGTACTCCAGTCTGTTCCAGGACATACATTCCTCTATAACTAAAGTGTATCCCCATGGAGTACTCCAGTGTGTTCCAGTACATACAATCCTCTATAACCAGAGTGTATCCCCATGGAGTACTCCAGTCTGTTCCAGGACATACATTCCTCTATAACCAGAGTGTATCCCCATGGAGTACTCCAGTGTGTTCCAGTACATACATTCCTCTATAACTAAAGTGTATCCCCATGGAGTACTCCAGTCTGTTCCAGTACATACATTCCTCTATAACTAAAGTGTATCCCCATGGAGTACTCCAGTCTGTTACAGTACATACATTCCTCTATAACCAAAGTGTATCCCCATGGAGTACTCCAGTCTGTTCCAGTACATACATTCCTCTATAACTAAAGTGTATCCCCATGGAGTACTCCAGTGTGTTCCAGTACATACATTCCTCTATAACTAAAGTGTATCCCCATGGAGTACTCCAGTCTGTTCAAGTACATGCATTCCTCTATAACCAAAGTGTATCCCCATGAAGTACTCCAGTCTGTTACAGGACATACATTCCTCTATAACTAAAGTGTATCCCCATGGAGTACTCCAGTGTGTTCCAGTACATACATTCCTCTATAACTAAAGTGTATCCCCATGGAGTACTCCAGTCTGTTCAAGTACATGCATTCCTCTATAACCAAAGTGTATCCCCATGAAGTACTCCAGTCTGTTACAGGACATACATTCCTCTATAACTAAAGTGTATCCCCATGAAGTACTCCAGTCTGTTACAGGACATACATTCCTCTATAACTAAAGTGTATCCCCATGGAGTACTCCAGTCTGTTCAAGTACATGCATTCCTCTATAACCAAAGTGTATCCCCATGAAGTACTCCAGTCTGTTACAGGACATACATTCCTCTATAACTAAAGTGTATCCCCATGGAGTACTCCAGTCTGTTACAGGACATACATTCCTCTATAACTAAAGTGTATCCCCATGAAGTACTCCAGTCTGTTACAGGACATACATTCCTCTATAACTAAAGTGTATCCCCATGGAGTACTCCAGTCTGTTACAGGACATACATTCCTCTATAACTAAGTTGTATCCCCATGAAGTACTCCAGTCTGTTACAGTACATACATTCCTCTATAACCAAAGTGTATCCCCATTGAGTACTCCAGTCTGTTCCTGTACATACATTCCTCTATTACTTAAGTGTATCCCCATGAAGTACTCCAGTCTGTTCCAGTACATACATTCCTCTATAACTAAAGTGTATCCCCATGGAGTACTCCAGTGTGTTCCAGTACATACATTCCTCTATAACTAAAGTGTATCCCCATGAAGTACTCCAGTCTGTTCAAGTACATGCATTCCTCTATAACCAAAGTGTATCCCCATGAAGTACTCCAGTCTGTTCCAGTACATACATTCCTCTATAACTAAAGTGTATCCCCATGGAGTACTCCAGTCTGTTACAGGACATACATTCCTCTATAACTAAGTTGTATCCCCATGAAGTACTCCAGTCTGTTACAGTACATACATTCCTCTATAACCAAAGTGTATCCCCATTGAGTACTCCAGTCTGTTCCTGTACATACATTCCTCTATTACTTAAGTGTATCCCCATGAAGTACTCCAGTCTGTTCCAGTACATACATTCCTCTATAACTAAAGTGTATCCCCATGGAGTACTCCAGTCTGTTACAGTACATACATTCCTCTATAACTAAAGTGTATCCCCATGGAGTACTCCAGTCTGTTCAAGTACATACATTCCTCTATAACTAAAGTGTATCCCCATGGAGTACTCCAGTCTGTTCCAGTCTTAAAGTGATGTCGTATTACGACTACTTTCCAAACATATTTATTTATCAATATATGTACTGAACGTGAAACTAGTCTTGCAATCGGGGATAAACTTTAATACATAGGACACTAAAATGTTGGTTTGAGTATATTCTATGAATATTTCATAAGATGAGAATAGTGTACTATGATAGTGTACTGTGATATCTAAGTTGCAATACGCGACAGAGACGGATAACTGTTTCATCTGCATTAATGGTGCGCAATCCGACTGCATCCTCAGCCTGGCGGATGCTGCGCAGGGTATCACTATGGCCGCGGCTTCAACAGGGACGTACGCCAAGCTGACCAACTCCATGCTGGTGGGCGAGACAGAGAACCTAGGTCTACCCCAAGAACCATTCGGACGTTCCAGATCTGGAATAGCGTATGTTGTTTCCTGAACATTATTTCTCTAACTGTGCGACTCAATGCATTTGAGTTTGTTCAACAAATCAAAGCAGCTCCTTAGCACAACGTATCATCTTTAACATATGAATGAAAGTACTAATATGTCTTTCTTCATTCTGAGCATGTAGCATTTATTTAAGTTGTTGGTGTCGTAAGAGGCTGCCTTCAGCTGCCCCTGTGTTGACGCCTCGGAAACCCAGTGTTGGCCTGCTGATTGTCACTCACTCACTCTCGACCCTGGATTTCAGGGTGGAATTGGTCCCAAGAAACTAATGCTTGTCGACAAGGACGACTAAATGGGCTCGGTGACTTAACTGCGTGTCGTCCTGCCCCGATGGGCCCCGTCGACCTGTTTGCCTATTACATACCTATTACATTACATACATACGCCTGCGATTATTTTGTCATTAGGCTTGGGAAATAATCAAAGAGTCAATGAACTTTGCCTTCAGAGATGAACCTCTACAAGGGGTGGTCTTCTACCAGGGTCCAGGTCACGTGACTAATACCTTCTTTGACAAGTATGAGACGATTACATCAGATCGGAATATCACCAGATACGCGGGGGCCATCAGTGTGAAGCGCAGCAACCCCTACCCCCCTAAAGCCAGCAGCCATGTTGACGGGATCAAGTTCGGTTTCTGCGATGTGGTGCGTTCTCCGCTTACAATGTTCGATCTTCTGAACATTAGGGAAACAATGTTGTGCTTTACTAGTGTTCTGGTCTGTTATATACAAGCACCTGGGTTTATAAAGGAGAATTAATCTATAATACTGTAATGTTCAGTGGTACATACCCTACGGGCTTATGACGGGAACTGGTCGGTGGGACATACAGGACCTACTTACTATTGTGCAATCTGTGGGATGTGGGACCATCCTGTAATGTGGAACTGATCTCTGGTATGTGGAACCATGTCACATAGAGCTATTCCGCGGTGTATGGGCCTGTTCTGTGTTATGTGGGGCCCTGTCATCATATAGAATTGTTCTGTGGTATGTAGGGCCCTGTCATCATATAGATTTGTTCTGTGTTATGCAGGACCCTGTCATCATATAGAGCTGTTCTGTGTTATGAAGGATCATGTCATTATATATAATTGTTCTGTGGTATGTAGGGCCCTGTCATCATAAAGAACTGTTCTGTGGTATGTAGGACCCTGTCATCATAAAGAATTGTTCTGTGGTGTGTAGGGCCCTGTCATGATATAGAACTGTTCTGTGTTATGCAGGATACTGTCATCATATAGAACTGTTCTGTGGTATGTAGGACCCTGTCATCATATAGAATTGTTCTGTGGTATGTGGGCCTGTCATGTTATAGAACTGTTCTGTGTTATGCAGGACCCTGTCATCATAAAGAACTGTTCTGTGGTATGTAGGACCCTGTCATCATATAGAATTGTTCTGTGGTATGTAGGGCCCTGTCATGATATAGAACTGTTCTGTGTTATGAAGGACCCTGTCATCATAAAGAACTGTTATGTGGTATGAACGACCTTGTCATCAAATAGAACTTACCTGTGTTATGCAGGACCCTGTCATCATATAAAACTATTCTGTGTTATATAGGAACCTGTCATGACGTAGAACTGTTCTGTTATGTAGGTCCATGACATCATATAGAAGTGCTCTGTCTTATGTAGGACTCTGTCATCATAGAATTGTTTTTTTATATGTAGGACCCTGTCATGATGTATAACTGTTCTGCGGTATGTAGGCCCCTGTCATCAAATAGAACTATTCTGTGGTATGTAGGACTCTGTCATGATATATAACTTTTCTGTGTATGTAGGACTCTGTCATGATATAGAACTGTTCTGTGTTATGTAGGACTGTGTCATGATATAGAACTGTTCTGTGTTATGTAGGACTGTGTCATGATATATAACTGTTCTGTGTTATGTAGGACTCTGTCATGATATAGAACTGTTCTGTGTTATGTAGGACCCTGTCATGATATATAACTGTTCTGTGTTATGTAGGGCCCTGTCATGATATAGAACTGTTCTGTGTTATGTAGGACCCTGTCATGATATATAACTGTTCTGTGTTATGTAGGGCCCTGTCATGATATAGAACTGTTCTGTGTTATGTAGGACCCTGTCATGATTTAGAACTGTTCTGTGGTATGTAGGACTGTGTCATGATATATAACTGTTCTGTGTTATGTAGGACTCTGTCGTCTTATAGAATTGTATTTTGATATGTAGGTCCCTGTCATGATATACAACTGTTCTGTGTTATGTAGGTCCCTGTCATGATATAGAACTGTTCTGTGGTAAGTAGGACTGTGTCATGAAACAGAACTGTTCTGTGCCGTGTTCCAGATTGAGGGGAACTGGGCTTATAAGGGAGACCCATCTGTTCCGCTGATGAGAAACAGGGACGGCAACAGACAGATCACCTTCAGGGACATCGACGGCAGCGTGTCGGGGATGGCAGGGACCCAGTTCGTGCCGAACACACGTTTCCACACCACCAACCAGTGTGACTATAGACCTGTGTCTAACTTTGCTGTGTGCCCTCATGACTACGCTAAGGTATCACATTTTTACAAAATCTCTATATCTTTCTTCGCACGCTTTGTCTTTGTCTCTTTAGCCTGTTCATTGCAAACAATCCCGTATTGCTGTATTCAGAAACGTATCCATTATGAGATGACTAAATGTTTATACTACATGTTGTAGCGGTATTGACATCCAGCCTTTTTTACCGAGTTAAAGGGGCACTGATCTAACGCAATTCCCCGGGACTGGTTGTTGCCTTTGTTATTGTTTTTTCCCAGTGAGTACCCGGATGTATAGCAGAAATCTAGACTAGTTCGCGACCTCTGCTGCGCAATTCGTAAGCGCATCAGTCACTTTTATGGGTAGTAATAAGGGCGTATGGTCACATTGAGGAACAAAATGAAATACAGTTTTCGAGATAATAAGGAAATGTAGGTATCTTTGTGGGTAGCATCGGTAATGGTGACGAAGTTTTGATAAGTCACTTGCTTGGTAATTTTGCGATTTTCGTTTACACTATTTTGACTTGCAACACAAAGTAAATATTTCACCTGAGCATTGCTTTTTTTATAGTGTGTATATTTTTTACTGTCAAAATGTGTAACATTTTCAAATTAATTTAAAGTCTAAATATTGAGTTATTTTACAAAGTGACTGAAAAAATTTTCCATCTGTATTATTATGATAACGAATTCCAAACATTTTGATGTTTAATGTCATCACCAAGAGACTGAAAATGTTACGTAGAAAAGTACATGTCTATGTTGTTTGGTTTCTAATCCTACATAATAATCTATTGTGATGTTTGTAGGCCCTTTTGATCAGACAGATTTTTTAGTCAAAATGACTGAAATATTTACACATTTTATAAATTGCCTGAGAGAATCACATTTTACAAATTGACGGCAATATATACACGCTTACAAAGGAAAAGACCTGTGAAAACAACGTCTATCGCGCATTGAAGAATTTCCCAACCAAGACGTAGAGAAACAAGACCGAATCGGTTCAAATGAAGGAAAACAAAATGCAAATACCATAATTGCAACCTACCAAATTTATGTGTATAAATTTTAGGCAGCGTCCTTGTTCGAGGAATGTATCCGTGAATATCCACGCAAAGGAACACTATCCCACTCGTCTGCAGCTGTAAAAAGAATCTTATTTGATGTCACGTGTCTCTGTAACAATCAAATATTTTAAAAGATATATATCGTTTCGGGATATTATAACCCGTGTTCGTTTCTCAACTGATCACTTGGATTGTTTCAGGTGTTTCACATAGGTGTCAAGTCTCAAGGGTCGGCTGAGAAAGCCCACGTGACAACTATTTTCATAACGTCCACGGTTCCTAAAAAATCCATTGAGTGATAGATAACAATGAGCAATCAATCAACGTATTATCAGTTAACCCTTTGAACAAAGTATGTTGTTTTTACATCGGCACGCCATGGTATGAGTGTATTACCTTTGTTTTAGTAAACCTAGACATGTAAACACTCACTTTTGACATATCCACTGTGCAAGATAACAGTGATTAACCAATCAACGTATTTTCTGTTAATCCTTTGATGACTAGGAACGATCTGTTGATTTACAAAAGAAAGTAAATCAACTGATCATTCACCTCTTGCTGGTCTGCCACGTGCATATTACATAACACACATTTCACCTCACTTCAAACCTGAAATTAGATTGAATAATTACCCCAGACACAATAAATGCCAAATGGGAACCTTTGTCAGGTAATCTAAGTGGTGCTACCAATAATTGTACCTGTAATAAATTCATTAACTGAGCATCAAGTGAATGACGACAGATATACAAGAATAGGGTTATACGAGAAAACGTGGATGCCAACAAGGGATTAGTAATCGTATTATCGACGCAATTCGAAATCCGAAAATGCTTTCACTGCATAGATACTTTTTTTAGTATTAAACTATAACCATCTGGGGTATTTCCAAATGAGGACATCCGATGAGCTCCGCCGTTCTTTTTGTCTGTTTGTTTAGGGTGAGGAAATTAATTAACATGCGCCCTTTGTCGAAATCTTTATAGATCACAGTTAACCAATCAGTGGTTACGCAAAAATTCGTAAAACAAATATTGCCTCCAGCCTCCAAGTTTATTTAGCTGTCCTTGCAGACGGTAGCCCAGTCTCTGGTCACGCTCAGTTGCGTTGCGTATCATCCGGGTACTCACGGGGAAAAACCAATAACAAAGGCAACAACCAGTCCCGGGAATTGCGTTAGATCAGTGCCCCTTTAAATATACGAGAGCCTTTTTCTGTTTCAAGGGAACGCGCACATTTATTTAAATGTACCTGGAGTGGTCAATGTACTTACCAATTGTGCATCTACAGACCGATCAATATGCAAATATGCGCCGATTCCATTTCTGATCCCTATTTCGTCATCATTCAAATTTTGTTCCAAGCGTCAAATCAGCGCCACTTCCGACTCACGATTCCATATGCTATATTCCAGGCTGTCTTTAGTGGAGACGGAGCTCTTAAAACATTGAAGGAGAACTATCCCATGTACATGCGCCGGGACGACAGACCTGACGATCCCTTTGCCTTGCAAGGTAGTTGAGTATGCTTTTTTTATCTAAATACTATCACTTTGTAGCACTGATGTTACAGTAATTATAGGCTATGAAGGCTATATTTGGTGTCCCCTTCTAACTGACTGAATATTTTAAAGGCGGCCGTGAAGATCCGGGTTTTTAATTGGTCTTCAGCAACCCGTGCTTGTCATAAGAGGCGATTGACGGGATCGGGTAGTTAGACTCGCTGACTTGGTTGATGCATGTCATGTTATCCCATTTGCGTGTATCGATGCTCATTATATCAATCACTGGCAAGTCTGGTCCAGACTCGTTTATTTAAAGACCGCCGTCATGTAGCTGGAATATTGCTGAGTTCGACGTTAAACAACAAACAAACAAACAAAAACTTAAAGGCGGCATAAAACCACATTAAGCGGGAACTAAAGTGATTCAAATGTACGTTTCTTTCATCATATTTCAGTTTTACCTCAATCAGTGGAGACAGAAACATGCGTCTGTTGATGATGACATTGTCTAAGTGCATGCTGTTTGAAATCAGTAAATGTATTCCATTATGAAACTGTATATTCCAAATTTAGGCACAAAGGGAAATGCCTACCTGGTGATCAAGAAGAAACCATACACGGTATATTTCAACGGAACAGCTCCAACTAAACTAAAGGTCGCAGGACAGAACTTAGAAAGGTAGGTGGACATAAAAAGGTCTAAAACGTCTTCAGTTCGGGGACGATCATAAAACTGTAACTGTTCTGTTTACACATAGGTAATACTTGTCTATGATGGGGTAGCCCAGTGGTTAACGCGTTCGCTCGTCACGCCGAAGACCCGGGTTTGATTACCCACATGGGTAAAATGTGTGAAGCCTATTTCTCGTGTCCTCCGCCGTGATATTGCTGGAATATTGCTAAAAGAGGCGTAAAACCATACTCACTCACTCACTGACTTGACTATGATAGCTAAATGTTTAGTATGTTGGCGTTACAACGAGCGTCATTGAAACTGTTCAAGCTTTTGGGGAGGCCTGCATAAAAAACTAGAAATAATTGGGAATGTTATAACTAAAGAAAGCTGGTGTCTCCGTTTAATAAGACATGTTGCAGTGTTGCAGGCCGAACACATCTGTTTAATCTGTTACGACTGTTCTATGTTTCAGGGGGGACTATGTCAGACTCGGCCTGTGTTACCCGAAAGACGTGACAAGCTTCAGCTTCTCCAGTGGACTTCCCAAGATAGGGGCAGCTACTCCTGCAATCAGCGTCAGTAGCATCAGCGACCTGGACCGCGACACCACGGGGAGGGCCTACTTCTGGGACAAGTCCACAGGGTGGGTATAGGTGCAGCAGAGTATGGAAGGGCCAAGACATAGTGGTGTTTACAGGGTGGGTATAGGTACAGCAGAGTATGGAAGGGCCAAGACATAGTGGTGTTTACAGGGTGGGTATAGGTACAGCAGAGTATGGGAGGGCCAAGACATAGTGGTGTTTACAGGGTGGGTATAGGTACAGCAGAGTATGGAAGGGCCAAGACATAGTGGTGTTTACAGGGTGGGTATAGGTTACAGCAGAGTATGGAAGGGCCAAGACATAGTGGTGTTTACAGGGTGGGTATAGGTACAGCAGAGTATGGAAGGGCCAAGACATAGTGGTGTTTACAGGGTGGGTATAGGTACAGCAGAGTATGGAAGGGCCAAGACATAGTGGTGTTTACAGGGTGGGTATAGGTACAGCAGAGTATGGAAGGGCCAAGACATAGTGGTGTCCACAGGGTGGGTATAGGTACAGCAGAGTATGGAAGGGCCAAGACATAGTGGTGTTTACACGGTGGGTATAGGTACAGCAGAGTATGGAAGGGCCAAGACATAGTGGTGTTTACAGTGTGGGTATAGGTACAGCAGAGTATGGGAGGGCCAAGACATAGTGGTGTTTACAGGGTGGGTATAGGTTCTGCAGAGTATGGAAGGGCCAAGACATAGTGGTGTTTACAGGGTGGGTATAGGTACAGCAGAGTATGGAAGGGCCAAGACATAGTGGTGTTTACAGGGTGGGTATAGGTACAGCAGAGTATGGAAGGGCCAAGACATAGTGGTGTTTACAGAGTGGGTATAGGTGCAGCAGAGTATGGAAGGGCCAAGACATAGTGGTGTTTACAGGGTGGGTATAGGTGCTGCAGAGTATGGGAGGGCCAAGACATAGTGGTGTTTACAGGGTGGGTATAGGTACAGCAGAGTATGGGAGGGCCAAGACATAGTGGTGTTTACAGGGTGGGTATAGGTACAGCGGAGTATGGAAGGGCCAAGACATAGTGGTGTTTACAGGGTGGGTATAGGTACAGCAGAGTATGGGAGGGCCAAGACATAGTGGTGTCCACAGGGTGGGTATAGGTACAGCAGAGTATGGAAGGACCAAGACATAGTGGTGTTTACAGGGTGGGTATAGGTACAGCAGAGTATGGAAGGGCCAAGACATAGTGGTGTCCACAGGGTGGGTATAGGTACAGCAGAGTATGGAAGGGCCAAGACATAGTGGTGTTTACAGGGTGGGTATAGGTTACAGCAGAGTATGGAAGGGCCAAGACATAGTGGTGTTTACAGGGTGGGTATAGGTACAGCAGAGTATGGAAGGGCCAAGACATAGTGGTGTTTACAGGGTGGGTATAGGTACAGCAGAGTATGGAAGGGCCAAGACATAGTGGTGTTTACAGGGTGGGTATAGGTGCAGCAGAGTATGGAAGGGCCAAGACATAGTGGTGTCCACAGGGTGGGTATAGGTACAGCAGAGTATGGAAGGGCCAAGACATAGTGGTGTTTACAGGGTGGGTATAGGTACAGCAGAGTATGGAAGGGCCAAGACATAGTGGTGTTTACAGTGTGGGTATAGGTACAGCAGAGTATGGAAGGGCCAAGACATAGTGGTGTTTACAGGGTGGGTATAGGTTCTGCAGAGTATGGAAGGGCCAAGACATAGTGGTGTTTACAGGGTGGGTATAGGTACAGCAGAGTATGGAAGGGCCAAGACATAGTGGTGTTTACAGGGTGGGTATAGGTACAGCAGAGTATGGAAGGGCCAAGACATAGTGGTGTTTACAGGGTGGGTATAGGTGCAGCAGAGTATGGAAGGGCCAAGACATAGTGGTGTCTACAGGGTGGGTATAGGTGCTGCAGAGTATGGGAGGGCCAAGACATAGTGGTGTTTACAGGGTGGGTATAGGTACAGCAGAGTATGGGAGGGCCAAGACATAGTGGTGTTTACAGGGTGGGTATAGGTACAGCGGAGTATGGAAGGGCCAAGACATAGTGGTGTTTACAGGGTGGGTATAGGTACAGCAGAGTATGGGAGGGCCAAGACATAGTGGTGTCCACAGGGTGGGTATAGGTACAGCAGAGTATGGAAGGACCAAGACATAGTGGTGTTTACAGGGTGGGTATAGGTACAGCAGAGTATGGAAGGGCCAAGACATAGTGGTGTCCACAGGGTGGGTATAGGTACAGCAGAGTATGGAAGGGCCAAGACATAGTGGTGTTTACAGGGTGGGTATAGGTACAGCAGAGTATGGAAGGGCCAAGACATAGTGGTGTTTACAGGGTGGGTATAGGTACAGCAGAGTATGGAAGGGCCAAGACATAGTGGTGTTTACAGGGTGGGTATAGGTACAGCAGAGTATGGAAGGGCCAAGACATAGTGGTGTTTACAGGGTGGGTATAGGTACAGCAGAGTATGGAAGGGCCAAGACATAGTGGTGTTTACAGGGTGGGTATAGGTACAGCAGAGTATGGAAGGGCCAAGACATAGTGGTGTTTACAGGGTGGGTATAGGTGCTGCAGAGTATGGGAGGGCCAAGACATAGTGGTGTTTACAGGGTGGGTATAGGTACAGCAGAGTATGGAAGGGCCAAGACATAGTGGTGTTTACAGGGTGGGTATAGGTGCTGCAGAGTATGGGAGGGCCAAGACATAGTGGTGTTTACAGGGTGGGTATAGGTACAGCAGAGTATGGAAGGGCCAAGACATAGTGGTGTTTACAGGGTGGGTATAGGTACAGCAGAGTATGGAAGGGCCAAGACATAGTGGTGTTTACAGGGTGGGTATAGGTACAGCAGAGTATGGGAGGGCCAAGACATAGTGGTGTTTACAGGGTGGGTATAGGTACAGCAGAGTATGGGAGGGCCAAGACATAGTGGTGTTTACAGGGTGGGTATAGGTACAGCAGAGTATGGAAGGGCCAAGACATAGTGGTGTTTACAGGGTGGGTATAGGTGCTGCAGAGTATGGAAGGGCCAAGACATAGTGGTGTTTACAGGGAGGGTATAGGTGCTGCAGAATATGATGGGCCACATCACAGTGAGGAGAGCGTCCACATGGAGAGTAAAGGTGCTGCAGATTATAAACGGCTAAATCTCAATGAGAGAGTGTCCATGTTGAGGGTATAGGTGCTGCAGAATATGAAAGGCCACATCACAGGGAGGAAAGTGTCACAAGGAGGGTATAGATGATGCAGAATATGAAGGGCTAAATCACAGTGAGGAGAGAGTGTCACAGGGAGGGTATAGATGCTGCAGAATATGAAGGGCCACATCAAAGTGAGGGGCAGCGTCCACATGGAGGGTATAGATGCTGCAGAATAAGAAGGGCTAAATCAAAGTGAGGAGAAAGTGTCACAGGGAGGTGTTTAAATTGTGTTCGTAGTATGTTGTTATTATATTGAAGCTGATGCATTCATCTCTGAAACCGACAGTCGACTTGCCGCATAAATCTATGATTCGACCTGTGTTGAGTGGGTTAGCTGGTCAAGCCCATTGACACTGAATACGCAGGTTCCATACCCTGCATGCATGGTGTTTGATGCCTATTCGTGTCGCCTCATTTGTGTTCCTAATACATGCTCATTTAGACAATGTATTGTGTTTGACCCAGTTACCTTGCGAAACCATTTTTCCGACAGGAAAGCAACACACATGGTTACGATATGAGTGAAGTAAACTTGTATTTACTTCAAATGACCCTTGATGCATATACAGGAAATATATATTGACATTAGGCAGTATTCACAAGAGTGAGTCAGTGTTCGTTTTTACGAACGGGTGCGAACTACATTTGGAACATACCAATTAAGAGATGTCACATATATCCTCTTGAGTGGAATATTGCATGCACGAAGTTTGATATTGCAGTTATGTCTTGATTTAAGTAATGATACTGATACACTCATACTCGCCAATACTATTGGTGATTTCTACAAACTAGTCTAATCTCTTATTTGACATACATATAAATATCTTACTTACAACATTTCACAACGTTATGCCTCTGTAGCTGTAAGAATAATAACCGCTACCCTTCTAAAACAATTGGATGGTCAAACCAATAGGGTTTAACCACGTACATTATATCTGATTAAATAAAATGATTAAATTGGGAACTAGAAAATACTCTGCTGGAATACCTTCACCTGGTTTTAGCTTACTATTACCTTCTGAAAGTTCTGATTCACTAAGGTCATCAAAAGGTAAAATTATTGCAGCTCACCAAAATATATTCCCATACGATTTGAGCAGGGATATTTTTATCAACTGTTATTTGTAAATGTCTTTATTAACTCCCAAACTGTTTTACAGTCCCCTATTGCAGCTGTGGATAAATCAGAAACTCTAGGCTGGAATTAGGGCTTCTTTAACTTGCATGGTTGTTGAAACCTTCTTCTAGCCTCTTTTAAAAACAAAACACAAAACATTATAATGAGTAGAACATCTACGGTATACGTTTAGCTTACCGTATTCTGCCCTTTTGGAAAATTTACATTCTAAATCAAACCTTTAGTAAATATACCGTCTCATAGTGAGCCACAAACATTGAATACATCAACCATTTCATAAACGACAGAGCGAACACATGTTTACCTTAAAGGTGTTCGATATTTCCTGTACGATTGGTCTTTATAAACTTTCACCCTCTTTCCATATATATTGTATCCAACATAGTAAACTTCCATTTTAGTACTTGGGGTCACAACATTCTGAAATAGTCAAAACATTATCGACATCGAGATGCATGGGACATCACCGCCAATTGTTTAGCATATTCAAAAAGGGACACGCATGTGTAATCTGGGGTACTGTTTCCATTATGCCTAGTATTATTATAATCAGTGGAAATATCCGGAAATCGTCCATTACAAATATGAATATCAACCATTAACCTAGTTTTAAAATAATAAGTTACATCGCGGTCCTAACACTCAACGTCTTCAGCTTGCATAATCTTGGATGGATGTATTTTTTCAGCCTACTTTTCATCAAGATATACTCCAATGTCGACCGTGTTGATGGAGAGAGATGTCCAGGATACAAATGTCCGTCCATCATCATCACTAGAACCGGTGGCAGTAACGACCTTGCAGACTGCTATCACGACGCGTACGATGGGACGTACAACCAGCCTGAAGATGTATGTGCAAGCACAGTTCTGTCGTGCAACATTTCTTCATGTCCAGCATTAACAACCAATCCTTGCTAAAGAAATCGACCATAAAGAAACTCGCCAGATAATCAGTATTTAACATGCTGAAAACTAACCGACAATACGTGCATAGCGGTGGTGGCATATTCAACCAATCCACATCTTCTTTGTGAAGACACACAAAGTGTCTAATGTGATTTTAGACGATAAAGAACAGGAATTAAAACAATATAAAAACAGTATATATCTTTTAAAGGCTGATTTACTGTCGGTGTGATGGGCACGTTGTTCTCACTATTGTCTGCATGAGTGTACGTTGTCCCTCCAGAAAAAAAAATTGATGAGTGAATGCGTGAGTTAGGTTCCAGGACTCTTTTACCATCATTCATGTCATATCATGGATGAGGACACCGAGATTGAGCTTCACACACTCGAACCCGGGTCTTTGGCCAACACTTTAACTGTAAGATTACTCTACTGCCCACATTAGTATGTAACACACCAAGTACACCATGTGTGACAAGCTTCCACACAGTCGTGTTCGTGTGCTCACGTTTATCATGTTTAACCCTGATGTTGTTGTAATTGCAGAATGCAGTGAATATCCCTAAAGCTAAACCTTGTGTCAAGACTAAATCAAAGGTGAGTTGTAACGGCAACCTTCCCAATTCTTGTCGGTCAGACCCCTTCAGTTCGTGTCATCACTATAACAGTGATTCGCGTGTTCAGGTTCTTGTCGCTTCCTTTAGTGAGTACATTATCTTGTACGAATCTGAATACCTTAACGGTAGCGCTATCACAATACTTTCATCGCTTGTCTTCATTGTCTTCTATTTAATCTAAATCAGTATATTTCTCTTTCAGGCATTTGGTGCCGAGGTGGAGCCGAACTTCTTCAGTGCTAGACCTTCTACACCAGTGTGTCCCTCTGACCCTGTACATCAAGGTAAGTACTCAACACCAGTGTGTCCCTCTGACCCTGTACATCAAGGTAAGTACTCTACACCAGTGTGTCCCTCTGACCCTGTACATCAAGGTAAGTACTCTACACCAGTGTGTCCCTCTGACCCTGTACATCAAGGTAAGTACTCTACTCCAGTGTGTCCCTCTGACCCTGTACATCAAGGTAAGTACTCTACACCAGTGTGTCCCTCTGACCCTGTACATCAAGGTAAGTACTCTACACCAGTGTGTCCCTCTGACCCTGTACATCAAGGTACGTACTCTACTCCAGTGTGTCCCTCTGACCCTGTACATCAAGGTAAGTACTCTACACCAGTGTGTCCCTCTGACCCTGTACATCAAGGTAAGTACTCTACACCAGTGTGTCCCTCTGACCCTGTACATCAAGGTAAGTACTCTACTCCAGTGTGTCCCTCTGACCCTGTACATCAAGGTAAGTACTCTACACCAGTGTGTCCCTCTGACCCTGTACATCAAGGTAAGTACTCTACACCAGTGTGTCCCTCTGACCCTGTACATCAAGGTAAGTACTCTACTCCAGTGTGTCCCTCTGACCCTGTACATCAAGGTACGTACTCTACTCCAGTGTGTCCCTCTGACCCTGTACATCAAGGTAAGTACTCTACACCAGTGTGTCCCTCTGACCCTGTACATCAAGGTAAGTACTCTACACCAGTGGGTCCCTCTGACCCTGTACATCAAGGTAAGTACTCTATTCCAGTGTGTCCCTCTGACCCTCTACATCAAGGTACGTACTCTACACCAGTGGGTCCCTCTGACCCTGTACATCAAGGTAAGTACTCAACACCAGTGGGTCCCTCTGACCCTGTACATCAAGGTTAGAACTCTACACCAGGGTGTCCCTCTGACCCTGTACATCAAGGTAAGTACTCAACACCAGTGGGTCCCTCTGATCCTGTACATCAAGGTAAGTACTCTACACCAGGGTGTCCCTCTGACCCTGTACATCAAGGTAAGTACTCAACACCAGTGGGTCCCTCTGATCCTGTACATCAAGGTAAGTACTCTACTCCAGTGTGTCCCTCTGACCCTGTACATCAAGGTAAGTACTCAACACCAGTGGGTCCCTCTGACCCTGTACATCAAGGTAAGTACTCTACTCCAGTGTGTCCCTCTGACCCTGTACATCAAGGTAAGTACTCTACACCTGTATGTCCCTCTGACCCTGTACATCAAGGTAAGTACTCTACACCAGTGTGTCCCTCTGACCCTGTACATCAAGGTAAGTACTCTACACCAGTGTGTCCCTCTGACCCTGTACATCAAGGTAAGTACTCAACACCAGTGGGTCCCTCTGACCCTGTACATCAAGGTAAGTACTCTACACCAGTGTGTCCCTCTGACCCTGTACATCAAGGTACGTACTCTACTCCAGTGTGTCCCTCTGACCCTGTACATCAAGGTAAGTACTCTACACCTGTATGTCCCTCTGACCCTGTACATCAAGGTAAGTTCTCTACTCCAGTGTGTCCCTCTGACCCTGTACATCAAGGTAAGTACTCTACACCAGTGTGTCCCTCTGACCCTGTACATCAAGGTAAGTACTCAACACCAGTGGGTCCCTCTGACCCTGTACATCAAGGTAAGTACTCTACTCCAGTGTGTCCCTCTGACCCTGTACATCAAGGTAAGTACTCTACACCAGTGTGTCCCTCTGACCCTGTACATCAAGGTAAGTACTCAACACCAGTGGGTCCCTCTGACCCTGTACATCAAGGTAAGTACTCTACTCCAGTGTGTCCCTCTGACCCTGTACATCAAGGTAAGTACTCTACACCTGTGTGTCCCTCTGACCCTGTACATCAAGGTAAGTACTCTACTCCTGTGTGTCCCTCGTGTATCAGGTTTCATTTATCTTTCCACGTCGTGCATTATCTAGAATTGTTGGCATGTGTTTTTAATCTGTGCTTCTCCATGGATACTGTTATGCTCCCTTGCCCTTGCCAGGTCGATCCAACCCAGAATTGAAGGGCTGTTTCAAAGACTCCTCATACAGAGATCTCCCCTACGCCCTTCTCGAACTACCACTGTCAATGACAGTGAGCTTCTGTGTTGAAAGGTATTTACAAAACTGACGTAATGAAATTGACGCTAATGGACGATAACGATCATAACGTAGTGGAGAAACGCTAAGGGATACTCAGGTGATAGACGCTTACCACCTTGGTGAAACATACGGGCCAAAACCAAAGGATCAAAATCAGTATGAATCTGGGATTCGAACCGACGATCAGCGGATTCTGGAGCGACAAAAACGTCATCAAATTGTCTGGGCCAAAGTTGTTCATACCACAAACTGAGCATTTTTCTGACATCTAGATAACTGGATGCACAGAACCTCCTAGGTGTAAACGAGCAGGAATACAAACACAAATATTGTACCATGCTTAGTGTCAAGGAATGGTCAAACATGTGGGAAACTGAAATGTGGTCAAATATGAAGGAAAGTATATTTTTCAGATGCTACTACCGGGGCTATGTGTACGCTGCTCTACAGAACGGTAACGAATGCCGATGTGGGAATATGTACGGAGGCTTTGGAAACAGCACCATGTGCTCCAAGTCCTGCTCTGGCGACAACACCGTCAACTGCGGAGGTTCTCTGGCTAACGCTGTCTACACCACCGGCAACGGTAAGCGTCTATATCTGAAAAAACAATAGGTAACATCATCCAGCAGCGTTAAATGTGTCTGGGTTGTACCGAAAGAACAACACGGGGGGGGGGGGGGGGGGGGGGGGGACACTCGACGTATATGTTAATATGATATCAATATATATAGGTGAATGTATTTTGTGAGAGGTTTTTTTTTTCACTTTGTTTCGTTATATAGAGGAACATTCTTTTAAGATGTACATGAAAGGACCATATGAATCTTTGATCATGTCTTTTTCAGCTGTAAGTCCGGCCATGATCACGTGCGGACCTGGCGACAATGGCACAGTGATTGACGGGAAGTGTTATTACCTCACTTCCGGAAGTTTCTCTTACGTGGAAGCTCAAAGGCAGTGTGTCCAATATGGAGGTGACCTGGCGACCATCATCTCGGGAACTGTCCAGGTTCCATGTATCGTCTCATATAGAGTGGCATTTAAGACATAAATTGTCTGTTTTCTGTATTTGAAAGCATAACTATTTCTCCCTTCTTTACATGATTTAAGTAACATTTCGTAAATTCGAGATGTTTATGAAGTGGGGTAATTGGTGAGATGAAATGCGAAAGAATTACATTTTTTACGAGGCAAAGGTTACAGGAAATTGATAAAGTAAAAAGAGACGTAGCCTGCCCCAGTGGTTGCACCCGTCACAAGCACATGCAAAGGCAGGTCAATTGTTCACCTGTGAAGCCAGGGGTGCATATGGTGCAAGTCAAAATAGGAAATTGCATCAGACATCATATGTTTTACTGATGCGTCAACGAGTGTATGTATAGTCCAGTCAAAATGGCGTAACGAAATCAACATCAGGTTCATAAACTGTCGTGCATCATTTGGTCGATTGCAGGATTTATAATGCATGTATACCGTCAACTTAGCGCCGACAGATATTCAAATCGTTTCATGTTTTTAATCAAATTGCTCACGTGATTTGATGCACCTCGCGATGTAAGACCCGTTTTATTGCAATATAAATCTTGATTATGAACCAGATGGTCTTCACTGGAGGCCGCCATTTTGTTTGAAGCAAATACAAGTGATGTCAGAGGTGGAATCTGATTGGTCGCTAGGAGGAACATAGAAGGGGCAACACTCGTATTGGCCACTAGTGGCGCTACGTACGATCGAGCCCAGAGTTCCCATACAATAAAGATCGTGGGGGGGTTTCTTTTCAGTTTGAAGTGGAGCGCTACATGAGACCCTTCAAGACTGATACCTGGTTTGGTCTGAACGACGTTGCCAGGGATGGCACCTACGCCTTCATCGATGGGACTACACTTGGCAGTTACAGCAACTTCATTAAAAAAAGAGCCATGTCATCAAACCCTGACTTTGGAGGTTGGTATACATCAGCCTGTGCCAGTGTTTTTTTTTTATTATGAGTTATAAAGGACATATGGCTGTCGGGGCGTATACTAACTAAGGATAAGATATATTGATGAACAACTTCTCTATTACATTTAGGAGTTATAACTTCAACTTGTAAATGTCTCTCAAAGAACTAGACCTACCCAAGCCGAGATATACAAAAAGAAAGAGATATTTAGCTACACTGGAGTCCGTGGGGGCCTGCGAACTGCAAGGCTAGACCCCCGGTTGGTTTTCTCCGGGTAGCGATTGACTGTAATGAAGTATTCTGGTATAGGATTGTAAGGAATAAAATACCTCTTTGTTTCTCTTTCAGTGCTGAAAGCAAATAGCCTGTACCGTTGGGGCGTTAGAGAAGACGGGAGTTATCCCGCTTTGTGTCAACTACCCGTCCTTGTCACAACGCCAGGTATGAGTCAGTGAAAGGTTACCGTCACACAATATACAGTTGTCGAGTTGCTAAAGGTCTCTTGAAAGCTTCCTATTAACGTCGATCAAAATATTCGGAACTTATTTCGAGAACTTAATTTCATAAGGCGTAATTTGAAATATTCCAATGCATGGTAACGAAGAAATAATACTCTTTCAGTACGTTGTGGCCAGAATAATCACGGTCAGCAACTGCAAGGCGGCGACTGTTACCTTGTCATCAACACAGCCCTTGACTACACCATGGCTCGCTACGCCTGCCACACCAGACGGGGAACACTGGCGTATGTCTCGACTCCCCGCGAGCTGGTAGGCACAATGTAGCTCCTTACCATGTCTATCGGGACCTCATAGATATTTGCCATGTGTGTCAGTGCCTTGTAGCTACTTCCCATGTGAAAGCGGTAATTTGGTGTCCCGATACCCAGGCCATGCAATTCCAAAAGACGTTAAAAGATATGATAGTTATTGTTACCCTGCCTAGCGATGGGGATTTGGGGATAAAACAAACATGCAGTGAGTTATCACCTGCATGCACATAGCTAAATAAAAATATTTTGAATTTCACCTCACCCTCACCTCACTTGCTGTGTATATCGGTACCGCGTATCTACTTGCATGCATACCACTCAAAAGACGTTTAGGGTCACTCGATTTGTTTCTTATTGCTACAGTTACTTATTCGTATATTCTTCAGGACCTCGGAGCTACTTGTCATGTATATAGGTACCCCGTAGCTTCTCTGTCTCGGATTTAACGGTTCTACGGTTTGATGTTTCACAACAATGACATAGTGTGTGTCAAACATGCTTGCTGCATGCATGACCCGAGGTCACTTCACTATCCAGCCCGATGAATAGGGGATGTCTTAAAGACTTGTAAATAATTTTAAATGAGTTATGAGATGGATTTAGATACCTGTAGTACTTAATATATGAAAACTGATGATATACATAGACACACTGATGTCGTGCTCTTCTTTCAAGATTTTATGTTCTCTTTTTGAAAGGTTACACAAGATTTCTCGCCTATACTGATACTGTTGTTACAAACAGAGGTGTAGGGTGACCTTGGGTCATACATGCAGGAAGCATATCTGACATACATTACGTCATTGCTGTGAGACGTTAAACCGTCTGTCCTTAACCCCAACTACAGCACCATGTCAAATGTCACCAAACCACATGATAATAGTTTAGGAGGTGTTTATATTCGGAAATGAAATACTACAAAACTGGTATTTCTAGTTAGGTCAATAATAATTATTAAAAAATAACCATCTTTTGACACGTGATTTTGGTGTTAATTGAAAATAATTGAGACAAACCTGGTGACAATATGATCGTTGGCGGACTATACTGTGTGTTCCAACTGAACCTGTGTGTGTCGTTTTAACCACAGGCCGCGGTGACGGAACACATCTTCAGGTTCGGTGGGGCAATGGACTACTGGATAGCTGAAGAAGGAGGCGACATTATTGGTGAGTTGTTTTCGTGTCTTTGTACTGTACTACGGGCATTTGTACCAACGACTGATTTAGTGGCGTCTTCTACGTTGGTAGCCAGTCAGGCGTTCTGGAAGAAACGTTTAACTTTGAAACTAAAGTAGCCTTATACCGTTCCCCCGTGTCGAGCTTCTATCAAACGCATTTCCACTTTGTATCGAGTGTTCAGGTAGCCACATTCACTGTATTATGTCTGGGTCAGTCAAATTATTTCGGTCTCGGAGAACATATACAGTTAACTGACATAAATAAAATATGTTACATGGAAAACTGTTTACATCGGGACATGGGGTGCGCAGCATTTGCTGTGCTGTAAGAAATTGTCTATTTTCACTGAGTCATCGTTCGTTATACAGACGGATAGTATTGACTTCACTACTGTCTTATAATTACGTGCCCCGTGAAGATCCGGATTAGAATAGGTCTTCAGCAACCCATGCTTGCCATAAGAGGCACCGAACGGGATCGGGTGGTCAGGCTCGCTGACTTGGTTGATACATGTCATGGTATCCCAATTGTGTATATCGATGCGCCTGATGTCAATCGCTGGATTGTCTGGTCAAGAATCGATTATTTACAGACAACCGTCATATAGCTGGAATATTGCTGAGTACGGCGTTAAACAACAAACAAACAAAAACAAATCAAAGTACGAGGGGTCACGTCCCGGACCCTTAAGGCGTCGTAATCTACTGTGCTGGGTTGCGTGTCTAAGGCGTGCCAGAGTGGTGAACGTCACTATGGGCTTTCCCCACATTAGTTATGTAACACAAACTCACTCACTCACACATTTCAGAGTTGGACCACGCCCTGATTTATAATAAGAAGAAGGCGAACGAGGGAACCAAGAACGGTGTCGTGTGCAGCATTGGTGAGCATATGCAGGGACATCAACTACCGTGAATACTGTAACGAGTGTATGATCTATAGCATCATTGTATCCCGACAAAAGTACGGCCTTCTATAGTATATGACATGTTAGGTACTCGTGTATGCTGATTGTACGTTCTCCTCAATTTCCAGAATCCCTGTCTGCTGCAAGGCCGTGTTCAACCGGTAGGTTATTTGATAGTATAAGACTACAACAGTTTACGATCTTTTTGTTTTATTCATCTAAAGTGAGGATAGTGTTTTTAGACGACCAATTGATAGTATTATGTTCTCTTGGATAAGCGCCAGTTAGTCAATGATTTAGTAAGTTATTGATTTTGAATCCATTTTCCTTCAGTTGAGTATTACGGTATTTGCTTTGACCCTATATATTAATGCAAAATTGGGAATTAATGGGCAAACTATTGCGACCTCAATAATTATCAATCAAATCACTATACAACAATTTGAAATCGATGGTCTGAGGTGAGGTGAGGTGAAATTGGGTTTTAACGTAATGGGGTTTTAAGTGTTGCACTTAAAAAGCGACATGCACGCACGTGTGTGTGTGTGTGTGTGTGTGTGTGTGTGTGTGTGTGTGTGTGTCTGCTAATCCGGACAAATGCCGAGTTTATAGTGCTAGACCACTGAGATACAATGCCGCAGTTTAACAAGAATACCCCTACCACTAGACCACGGAGGCGATACCTCAAGGTTCTGAAGCTTATTGGTTGTTAAAAATACATACGAAAATCATTTAGTAATACTCTAACAATCGGATACCGTGTCTATTTGTAGCAAGGTGTTTGAGCTATCGAGAGTCGAACTGACTCTTGCATGAGGAATGTTTGGTCACGGGCACACTGTCAATTGCGGAAATAACGATGTCCGCTCCAGTGCAAACTGCTTACTACGGCTGCAAGTTTCCAATAGTTGTGTATATGGCACACGTGATTAACGCATTTGGCAGACAGCTAACTGATATGAAATGTGACAGGGATTGTGACCTCTATCTTTCAGACTGGCTCCACAACGATGGCAAGTGTTACCTGTACAGCGGGGACCGCGGCGACTACGACAAGACCAAGTTGTTCTGTAACCAGTGAGTGTAGCGGTCATGGTCAGTGTGTAGCAAGGTTGACTGACTGTGATTGTAATGAGTGGTACTCTAATCTCAGTTTTCATTATTCATCAATGTCGTACTGTTTCTGTTGAAAGTGTGAACGTTTCTTACACAATGTTTTCAATATATGTTTTCTTTTATCATTTTGAATTGTTTCGGGCAGCTACTATGGCACTGTTTTTATTACAGGGGTGACAGCCAGGTTCTCACGGTTCTCAGTGACGCAGAAAACACCTTCGTGGGAGACACTGTGAAGACAGAGACGCTCAATCCACAAGTCCATATCGGTGAGTATACTTGCGTCAGAAATGCACCATTGCCTCATTTCCGATTAGCTCTCAATGCCTCCTTCATGGAGATATGGAATTTATCATTCCGTTCATAGATTCAATGTCAAGCACAATTTAATAGTCCCGTTGGTCTACGGCGCCGGGTCTTATTGTGCGAAACTGGGTACCTCAGTCGAGCCAAGGCTCAAAAGTTGTATGTTCGAATCCCACATGTACACAACTATGTTCCTTCAACATACCCGCCGTGATATTGCTGGAATATTGCTAAAAGCGGCGTAAAACCTCACTCACTCACTCACTCACTCCTTCAACATAGCCATGGTCGTAGATTCTAATAACTAATGTAAGCCTCCTTGTCTCTACCCCACTGCAGGATACGTCTACAATAATGCCACCAGCGCCTATGAGTGGGAGGACGGGTCTTACTCAGCCTACACCAATTGGGACAACATGCAGGGGGAGGACAACGTGGCCAAAGGAAGCTGCGTTGTACTAAAGTCTCACAACTCCAAATGGCGGAACACCAAGTGCAGCAAGATCGGCGCCATTATGTGTAAGTCGCGGGCCGCGCAATGAAAAATGCTATGCTGGGGTACAGCCTGTGGGTCTGGTGTTTACAGATGTCTGCCCTGATATTATAGTGAATAAGTTTATGTTTCAAAATGAACATTATCACTTTACAAAATGTCACTCATGACAATATGACCTTCCCTAGACTGTAATGCAGACCCTGAAACAAATATATCCGATACAGCCCATATAAGTCTATAATAGTTGGCAAGTCTAGATTACTACAGTCTGAAAATGAAGAGCGTCTCTGAGCTCCTTTTTGATATATTTTATATAAATTTAACAACTGTTTTTGTGTAAACTATTTCCATTTCAGAGACTAGATGTTAGTGTAGACCGTCTCTTTAAGATCGGTGTCTGGTGTTTTCGGTTTCATTTATAAACCATTGAAAATGTAATGTTCCATTTCTGTCTTCATAATTGTATTGTTAATTATGTGTTTTTTTATGTGTTGGACTCGTGCAATGGTAGAACTGCATCTGATGTCGGTCATGTCCACATGTCTCAGTCAACATGTCTACTGTATGCTGACAAACATTTTGACTTCCTCACATTATCATGTTATTTATAGTTAAACCCGTTACTGGATGTTGTCTTCCATGACTTTAATGTTTGTGATTCACATGTTATTATCTTATTGTTTGAATAAATCATAATTGGTATAAATCTTTGTTAAATATTTGACTTGGAAGCGAATCAGCAGTTATACGAGGTAAGTATCATGCAAAAACGTGCCTTATATGTTACCAATGTACTTGGGCTTTGATTATGGAAACCTCGAGTAAATTTGCCCCTTGTAGACAGGTCAAAAACAAATCTGTGACTTTCTGTATATACACGACATGAACCCCTATTTTCGTTTCACGTTTCAGTAGCATATTCCAGAGACATCACACCGCAATGTTTGTTTGTTTGTTTGTTTCTTGTTTAAAGCCGCACTCAGCAATATTCAAGCTATATGACAGCGGTCTTTAAATAACTGAGTCAATCCAGTGATTGACATCACGAGCATCTATGTACGCAAACGGGATGCGATAACATGCATCAACGAAGTCTGACCACCTGATAAGTTCGTCGCCACTTAAGACAAGCATGGGTTGCTGAAGACCTATCTTTACCCGGTATACCGATATGGCATGATGAAGGTTATTATTAACATTAGTTCCATCGTTATCCTCATTGCGTAGAAATGGCACAATACATTCTATATATGACAACATGAGCAGATGAACATGAAGAGGATGCAGATGCATACCAGGGCCGATGACGCGGCAAGGGCGGGCGACTTCTGGGAAGGTCCGAGCCCGATACTTCCGGTCCCCTTGTCAGAGCCTGAAGTGTTCGAGCCGACTGCAACGCCGTCAGCAGTAGAGGGACTAGATTCATAGTCTGGACAGGAGCAAAAGGAACAGATTGTGAGCGAAAGAACATGCATCTTTAGGGACCGACAATTCGATATTCGGTTCGATATTCGGGGGGTCGATACAAATATATTGCCTCCCCCCCCCCAAAAAAAAAAAAAAAAGAAATTGCCTGCCACAAAATTTGCTGCAAGGTGTTTTATACAAACAAAATAAGATTCATAGTTTTAAATAACGAAACGTAACACCAATATTGGTTTCCGGAAGGTATCCGGGCCGGATCCAAAATGGGAAGGTATCCGGAAGGTTTCCGGAAGACGGAAACCTACACTTTTTTTGCTGTGAATATGTTTATGAATAATTTTGTCGAACAAATCTTTTCTTTCTCGTCCTTTAGCAAATGGATGCGATTCTTCACAAATCCCATTGCAGATTGTCCATTAAACCTTAATTCATGGCTACAGGCAATCAGACAGTCGTTAAGGTATATCAGATAAGGTACAAAGGTACCTGTAAAACGGCTGTGTAATGGACAGAAGTACTATTGACAGTGACCCCATTGTTTGATCTATCCAGAAAACCATGACTAAATTTCAGTGTATTCAAAAGTCATATGTGCAAAGGGGGAAAATAAAAACGTTGCAATGATGCATACTCATTACTGAGCTATACCTGCCTAAGTGCGTAAATGGCTTTCCGGGATCTGCAAATTGCCACTTACAACTCAACATAGAGTGTGTCTGAATGCGACGTCTGTGTGGCTCAGTGCTCACGATATCGGCCACATGTTTTCACGCTGGCGATCTAGTCACACATGAAGCTGCCCAGATGTGGCCGTGCCATTGATGGATATGTAACAGTGCTAAAATTGCTATATTTTATTCAACTTTTTGTCAAATTCGCCTTCAATTCATAAGTTGTCGGTTAACCATTTAAGACCTGTCGGTACATACTAGCGATAAGAAATTGTATAACAACATCTTGCGCTTCAGATTTACGCCGCCTGAAACAGGTCGGTGGGCGAAACTTTAATTACATGTTGAATAACAACTGGTAGTGGTCAAACTAGACTAGAAAATTGAAAACGCGAAACCAAACACGAGCTGAGTGATTCTATCGGCATTTGTAATCTTCTATTACTCAACTTTCCAAACTGACCGTCTGCTTTGGCTATTAACAGACCAAACCCATCATACAAAATTGTATAACATGTCCAGTCTTTATTAGTCCAAAGTCTCAAATTTCAAACTGGACATGCACGTGTAGACTTGCCTTCAGATTAACAAAGGAGGTCTCAGGTATAAATATAGGGGGAAATCGACTGTTAGTCATTCCTGCTTTGCCTGAGAACCTCTCTCTGTTTGTCTTTGAAGGTAAGTCACTTTTACTTGTTACTTTGCCATTTAGGTTGAACTTGCTTAAAATTGTCTTTAATTTTGTATGAATATCATGCTTGAACAATGAACTTATACTCTCTGTATTCGAAATGCCGTGCCAATCTAAGCTGCATATTATTCAAGTTTTACTGACACAAATTAACTAGAGTAATTTATATGCGTGCGTTGCATGTAGAACTATTACTATTCCACAATCAGCGTTCGTATCCCACATGTTTATTTATCGGGTTAAAAACTACTAGGCAAATACATTTGTAATTATTAATCACAGGTGTCGTGGATGCTTCACAATTATCATGTTTCAATGTGAATAGCGTGCATTATAATATTGTATGAAATATTTGTCCATGTATCGGTAGGACCAGTATTCATATGTGTGTCGTGTTATTTACCTTATTGTATGCTGTATCGTTAGTAGAGTGGTTTTATAATGCAACAACGTTAAATGCGTCAATATGCATTAACATGATCCAGTTACTCGATATAAATTACGTTATGTATATTTGTTTGCGTTCTTATGCCTGATAAATACGGTTCTAGAATATAACTTATATCCGATGTTCATGCATCAAATATATTTTTTATATACAAAATCAGATCAGTGCAAGTACAGCAAAGTATATTATTCTTATCTGTAGCCTAAAATATATTTCTTATTAGGTAACAACTTTGTGAGGGCATATCACTAGACTACAATACTTGAACGTAACTTTTTGTTCTAGATAAATGCACGCAAATTAAGCAATGCCTGATAAATTTATGTTTTCCAATTTATGCATATTATTTCCATTCGGTAAGATGAATGGACGCTGTATAGAATAACTCAGATACTATACTTTAAGTATAATTTGGACGCTACAGATAACGTAGTTGTTTTATGTTGTAGAATAGTTATAATGAAACAGGCTTTCCTATAGCAGTGTTTACACCCATTTCTAAATTACAGTTCACAAGCAATTTCTCTGTTTTGGCGAAATCTCCAATAAGGTTCATAAACATTCACAATAGAATATACGTTCACTAATAATCAGTTTTAATTCATATATATTTTCAAGTTTCAAATACGGTATTCAGTCATGTAGGATTTGTATAAGCTCGGCCCGCATAGCGCGGCATGCACAGGCGGTACCGCTCATTGTTATATAACGGCACACTCACCAGCGCTCGGCAGTGACGTCACGTACCGTATTTAACCATTTTGCGCATGGCTGTTATCTGAATTTAGTATAATGTATTCAGTCATTGAATGCAGGTCCCATTATTATTTACCGTATTAAATCTTGTATTCACTATTTAACTCTGAAGTGTACTTCTGAATCGGCTATAGTTCATGACGTCACATGTACCGTATTTAACGTAAAATAGGTTATTAGACATGTCATTGTTCAAGAAAGGTGTTGTTATAATCTTTCATATGAATGCTTTTTGTAAACTTTGTTCAGATGTTATTTATGAGTACCTTAAATATATATCAAACATTATGAGTAATTATCAATGAGTAATTTAATGTGAATTGATTATAATGTCTGCATTATATCAAATGTTCACTGCTATGATATAAATGAATATCCAATGAGTTGAGCTTACACTTTACACTTTGTTATTATTTTACAAATGGTATTTTTAATTATAAATGTGTTTCGTAGTCTTATGCAATGTTATATTAGGCTGTAACTTGAATAGGTACTGAAGTGAATGCATTGTTCTCAAAGTGAAATCACATAGCAAGTAATTGTTTATTAACTCATGCCTATTATATAACAACGAATATCTTAACAGTTTTTGTATCACCGCTTAATTATTTGTCTGATTATGTCTTTGTGTTTGATGATGATGAAGGAGATTGTCTGACTATGTCTATATGCTTGATGATGATGAAAACATTTAATAAAGATCCCTGCTTTGCCTGAGAACCTCTCTCTGTTTGTCTTTGAAGGTGTGTTGATCCCGTGGCTAATTCCCCGAAAGTCATTCTAGGTTTTGATCAGTTTTAGTGTAAAAACTAACTGTTTCAGATACATTAAACGTATGTTAGTCAACCGCGTCAAGCGTGTTTCTGTACTCACCGAATACCCACGCAGCTACTTCTCCGGAACCAATCACAACCATGGCAACACTATATGTGATTGGCAGTCGTTTCAGTGCTACCTTCTCTGTGCCACTCCTGACTCCGAACACGCACACTCCGTCGTCCCAGCTCACACACAGATGATCGGGGCTGGAGCACATCTCGATGTCAGTTTCACATTGATCATTGCATGTTAGGAAGGCGAAGTGAGTATCAAGTTCTGGAATCGGGATGTTGAAGGTTACGCTGTGGTTCCTAGTCCAGTTGGCATAAGTACGAAGCCGGTGCCACACGCAGTAATCCTGAAGGGCAGAGATGTTCTTGAGGTCACGCTAATACCGGTTGAGGACAGGAAGACTATAGCCTAAATAGCTGTCTCCACAGAAGTCATGCACGAACAGGGTGTGGATGCTAAAGGAAAGAGAACAATGTATTATCCGGCATTGGCTGCAACATATGGTCCCACCAAGAGTTGTCCATTTACCTGACCGCCTCCGTGATGTAGTGGGTAGAGCGTCTGCCCGGAGAGCGTAAGGTCGTGGGTTCGATCCCCGGACGCGTCATTCAAAAAGACATTAAACATGGTACTAGTTGTTACCCTGCCTGTTTCTCGGCATTAATGGGCTAAGGACTCGTCGGCTCGGAGTCAGTGTACTGTGTCTGAGTGGGGTATTCATTTCAAGGGATGTGGAGTGGCCTAGCGATTAAAGCGTTGGCTCGTCATGCCGGAGACCCAGGTTCGACTCCCCACATGGCATCTTCCCGAGGCAAGGGAGTTAACTGACTCTAAAAGTCCAGTTTCCACGTGGAAACTAGACTTTTACTTGCCTCGTGGT